GTTACGTGCAAATGACGCATAGCTTGCGTCGTGTAGGTAGTACTATGAATTATTCACATTATGTACTTCACAGCGAAGTAAGTTATTTGCATCATAGTAGGAAAGACAAAAATATTATTCATACAAGCACACCGATAGAACAAATAACATGTTCTGCATATAAACGTATCGACCCGAGTTGAAGTAGTTGGAAGTTTCCAATCAATATAGGAAGAGCATTCATTAGAAAGATATAAAAAAAAACACTTGAAAAGCAAGAATAAAAGGTACAGCGCAATTATGCATAATATTTCAATTATTTGTTTTTTCTTTCGTTGTTAAGTGAATATAGAATGTTTAAGTGCAATCTTATGAATTTGCTATCAGTCACATCTAAGAGTTCAAAGTTTTGTCAATGTGTCCTACTTGATCTTGGTCGCTCAATCTCTACACTCTATTGTCCTATCAAGAAGACTCCAATAGTAAAACAAAGTTATATTGGTGAGTATGATCAGAAAACAGTAATTTTTGTAAAGTACGGTAATATCGAATGGTGGATATAAGCTAAGTAACAGAAATTCGACAATAAAAATTCTACGTGATATGAATATATATGCATTCTATATATCAATAGTACTGAATCCAAAGGCATATTTCTTTAGAAGAAATTCCGTAGCTTTAGTCAATTCCCAAACTTTTTGTGTACCCAATAGAAGATTATTGGGTTTTCTCTCACACATTTATTTCATTCAATAATATCATAAAATGAAACTCATATGGATTTAATCCCCTTTGAACAAAAAAACATAAAAAGTTAATCAAATTTTAGAAAAGTCGGTAAAAAGGAGTCCTATTTGTGATCTCATGGAAATGTACTCTTAGGAGAGTGGAGAAGTAGAAAGAAGATGCAGCGTAAGACCAAGTAAAGGGAAAAGATTAGCTTTTAATTTTGTCATACAGGCAGTTCGCAGCTATCAACAACTCATATCTTCAAACTCTTTTCTGAGAGGATCCATTAAAACGTCATCCACAAGATAAGACCATTTCCCAACGAGCAATAATAATTTTCATAATAGAAGGTTATGTTCTTTTATTCTTGCAGGACAGAAGGAAGTGAGAAGAGAAGGGTTATCATTCTTGTTGAAAAATTAGATCAATTTACAAGCATAACAACAAATGAAACAAATAGCCTATATATCAGCAAACACTGGCATTTTAAACAGTGGCTTTTATTCGGTTAATGCACATTCCTAATTGTGTTTTTCGGACGGAACACATGAGTTTATATAGAAGAGAGAAGATGTGCCACATGATAAATGAAAACTTTTCGTTGAAACTAGTAGCTGATGGCGATCGAATTTTGAGAAGTGCTCAGGAGATATTTCAAATTGATTGGTTAAACATTGCTGAGTATGAATCTCGCCAAGGAGACTCAGCTATTTTTCTGATCTTAGTAGTTGGACCGTTTGAAGCGTTAGCATTTGCTTTTGAAAATTACGTTGAAGCTTTGCCAAATATATTGGGAAACATTGATGAAAGAAGCCAATTGTTGCGGTAATGCGTGATTATTCCTTGTCTATTCTGATGTCTCAACACTTCCTATAGGTAAACCAAACTTTTTAGATCTCCTTAAAAATGATAAGCGAAAGACAAATATTCTTTGAACTTTACTATCCATTTGATAATGGAAAATCTGTACTACTATTTTTCAATATCAGAATATAACTTCTGCTATTCGGTGGTCTTGAAGGAATGCGAAATTCAAATAGTTTCAGTACTTATTATTTTGCTTACTATAGTCATTCCTAAATGTTTTCGTGAAAATACTTATTCATTATTTTCTACACATTATATAGGCTATATACTTGGATATACTATTGAACGGAAAAATGTGTCAACCAGAGTTTCAGTGAACTCTAATATCTTGATTAAACCGTATTGTACGCATGACGAGTTGAACAAGTGTGTTACTCTTCAAAAGTTGGTATGGAAGCAAAGCAATCTCGAGATAATGCCTCGTCGATCTTTTCTCATCGCCATTAATACAGGCGGAATCGTATTAGGTGCTTATATGCATCATAATAATTCGCCTGTTCTGCTTGGCTTCATATTATCGTTTGCGGGTATTCTTCCGGGTAAGAATGCAGACGTGTACTGGCATGCCGAGATGTTTGGAATCCATCCAGACACACGTAATCAACATATCGGTCGACGATTGCTACTAGAATTACGCGATTGCGCACTATCCAGAAACATAAAGTTAATCAAATATAATTTTGATCCGACTGAAACAAGGAATGCTCATATCTACATTAACCGCACGGGTAGCATCGGACGACAATATTCGCCTAACCATTATGGTTTGTTCTCGTCTTTAGGGAATCCATGCCCATTTGCAGGTCGACTCCGTATGGAATGTTGGCTTGATTCTCCACACACCCGTCGATGCCTGGGCTTGGAAATACCTAGTGGACATGATATGCCTAGGCCAAAGATCATTGATGAAGTGGCAGTTCCATCCAAGATGGAAGAATGGAAGCGCACGAAAGATGTTCGCGCTATCAATGCTTACAATGTAATTGATAAAAAGCTATTCGAAGCCTTTGATCGCGGACTCAATGTTTTGGGATTTCGCATTGAGCCTGACGGTACCTCAGTTTACGAGCTTGGAATTTTTAACCCGAATGAACCATGGTGGTGTCACAATCTGCTGTTCTCTAATCTTTTATGCGAAGAAACAACGTATCATTGTTCGACTAATGTTTCGTCAATGCCGACTTGAAGTAAAAACGTGTATCATCGCCTCGATTCCTATTTGTAACGCGTTTCTTTGTCATGCATTTAAAAATGTTTTTCTTAGCATTCTTTTACTAAAAGAACGAATTCTTCATAAAATTGCTCTTTGTAATGATTTTTTTTACAAACAAAATGAATGTAAATATGAATTCATATCTAAATAAAAATGTCGTTTTAGGAAGTAGGGATCGGTTACCATCTAGATAAAAATTTCGCAGTATCATGCTCAAAATATATCTGTGAAATAGGTCCGTTTTAGAAATAATAAAATTTTAGGACTATAGTACAGCAACATACATTGGGACATTAAGACAGAAAGGAATAGCTGTGTAACAAAAAGGGTGTGGGTGTGGGGTGTGGGTGGGTGTGGATGTGGGGGTT